CCCCAAAACCCCAAAACCCCAAAACCCCAAAACCCCAAAACCCCACATCGCTAGGAAATTGTTGATTTTATCCGTGATTATATTTCGGATACTTAAAAAAATGAATGATTTGAATCAGTCTGCTGATGATCTTTGACCTGCTCAACATTTAACGACTCATAAGTATCTACCTTTTGAATTGATCTATTAATAGAACAGGCCTCTCTCGAATTTTGATCAATCTGAAAATTACTAGAATCAGGAAAATAAGTTTCTGCTATTTCATCACTTGGCCCAACCATTCTTGACTCCCTTCTTAAGCTTTTAGAGAGTTGTTTGTAGTTGTTATTTGCTTGTATTTCTTTAATTGGGATATTCCTCTTATTAGGCCTACATTAGTCAACTAATATAATTACATATTCCTGCTACAGACCTTGGATGCTCATCTATGCTTCTTATTCTGATTCTGACCCCTCATCGAAGTTAAACTTGAGTTAAAGAGGTCAATATTAACATAGCTCTGGCTGATCTCGCTCATCAAGACAATATTGTCCCATTTCTTGGTCAAACTCGGAGCCTTTCTAGATGGATTACTTCTCTAAATACCTATGATGAAGAACAGCTTCTTTATTCTTGATGAAAAGGTTGGACAAGCCCACCTTTTTGAATGATTTGTTAAGAGAAGATCCTCTCTTTGGCAACCTATTTTTGAAAAATTCTCTTTGCATTCGAGATTTTTGAGTGCAAGTAAGGGACTTGGTGGCTGTAATTTATCGAATGGCTCCTTTTGTTCTGGAGATGACTTAGTTTTGGCCTTGGCTTCTAGATGGGTTAGAGGGATGGATTACGAAAATTATACAATTCTTTCGCTTTTGGAGAGCGGTTTGAACTGTTTGGAAAGGTTCTACTTCTTCTTGGAGTTATATAAGAATTCTCACCCTGTTTGAAATCTTGACCTGAAGGTTCAATGGATTTGCCTCAATCACTTGTTTGATAATTTTCTGCGTTGAAGCTATATTTTAAATTCTAAATTTGCTGAAAATTTGATATTTAGGATTAATCAAGGAAAGGGAATCTGGAACAGCTCGAACAGGAAGTAATTACTCTTCGGACTTCATCAGATCATTATAAGCATTTTTGTTTCGATTCCTCTTAAACTTAAACTTCTAAAATTACACCTTATGCCATGAAAATTACTTTAATTTGGCTTTTGTTTAAGAGATCTTTTATTATATTATGATGCTTATTGATAGTTTCCAAGACTGTTTTCCTTTTAGACTGAAGATAATAATTTTCTTCAGTACCCTCTTGAGTCTCTACACAGTCACTAAATATCCTACCATTGATAAAAATAGTTTTGTTACCCAAAAAGTGTTTAACATTGGTTAAAGTCTTGTTCATATTCCCACTCTGGCTCAGATTCCTAATCTTCGTGTTCTGGAATGAGCTATGAATGACTGGTTATGGGAAAATTTAGGGATGTACAACTTTGGACCATGGAAATAGTACCACACTTGGCTGCATTGCACATAGTAATGCTTTACATAATTTCGTTGAAGTAAGAGAAGAACTAAACTGCCATTTTTGTTAGAGATTTAGACCATGAAGGTAATTTAATCGATATAAAAAGAATAAGGCCTTAACCCTGCCATATGAGTTTAATGAAAGTTAGCATTAGAAAGAATCCAGCATAAAAGAGGCTTTTATGGTTGGTACATCTAGTATTTTTTACAATAATTTGATGCTCTCAAACTTACTTTTTATACTTTTCAAACCGACTTGTCTCTGAATCAGGGTCATCTCCTGATTCAATAGAAGTAAAAGGTCTTGAAGAGTTCCCTTTAAATGTATTTCTGTAGATTAAAAGCCCAGGTTCTTCCTCATTTGTTCCGTTGTAAGCATTCTTTACTTCAAAAGTATGCTGGCTTTTCATAGTAATTCTACTTAAAATATTTCAATTATTGAAAATAAGAAGGGGTTTTGGGGTTTTGGGGTTTTGGGG